CAGATAATCAGACTGATGTAAATCCTAATGTTGTTCCTTCACCTGAACTAGTTCAGAACAATTCCCCCAGTGGCTATGTAGGTCAAAATTCAGATCAATCCTCTTATATTCCATTACCTCATAGCTACAAATGGACCAAGGACCATTCAGTAACTCAAATTATTGGTGATCTAACTTCATCCGTATGAACAAGGTCTACTACGGCAAATGAGTGTATGTATGCTACTTTCTTGAGCAAAATTGAACCAACTAAGGTGTTAGAAGTCTTAGCTGATCCGGACTGGATAATTGTTATGCAAGAGGTCCTAAACCAGTTTGAAAGTCTAAAAGTCTAGAGATTGGTTCCTCGTCCTAAAAACAAGACAATCATTGGTACTAAATAAGTATTCAAAAATAAAAAGGATGAAGACGGAGTTGTTGCTAGAAATTAAGCTCAGCTAGTCGCAAAAGGGTATAATCAACAAAAAGGTGTAGACTATGAGGAGACTTTCGCTCCGGTAACGAGAATTGAGGCAATAAGAATGTTTTTAGCGTACGCTGCACACAAAAACTTTACTATGTACCAGATGGACGTCAAAACAACAATTCTATACGGTCTTCTAAAAGAAGAAGTATATGTCTCACAACCGGAAGGTTTCGTTGATGAGTCTAAGCCCGATCATATATATACCCTTGACAGAGCTTTGTATGGTCTTAAACAATCCCCGAGATCCAAGTACAACATCCTATCAGAATTTCTGGTAAAATCAGGTTTCTCAAAAGGTAAAATAGACACAACTCTATTCATTAAAAATGAAAAGTCTGACATTATTCTGATATAGATATATGTAGATGACATAGAATTGGATATACGAACCCCAAATATTGTAAGAATTTATTGGCTTTGATGGTCTCTATGTTTAAAATGAGCATGATGGGTGAGATGAACTTCTTTTTGGGCTTACAAGTAAAACAACTATCCTTGGGTATTTTTATAAATCAATCAAAATATAATTCAGATATCTTGAGAAAATTTAATATGGAAAATTGTTCATCTATAAACACCTATGGCTCCAGGTTCAAAACTTCATGCTGATCCTTCGGGTAAAGCTACAGATCAAAAGACCTATCGAGACATGATTGGTTCTTTAATGTATTTGACGTCTTGTAGACCTGATATTATGTTTTCAACATATTTTTGTGCCAGATACCAGGCCAACCTAAAGAATACCATCTAAGTGTTGTGAAACAAATTTTTGTTACTTAAAAGGGACAGCTGATCTTGGACCTTGGTATCCCAAAGATACCGGCTTTAAACTAACGGCATACTCAGATACAGATCATGCAAGTTGTATGTTAGACAGGAAAAGCACTTCGGGTCATGTATAGTTCTTAGGAGAGAAGTTAATGAGTTGGGCATCAAAGAAACAGAATTACATGTCCACATCCATGGCTGAAGCAGAACATGTTGTTGCTGTCAATTGATGTTCTCAAGTCATTTGGATGCGTACTCAACTCAAAGACTATGGTTTCTCATATAACAAGATTCCAATATACTGTGACTCAAAGAACATAATCGTCATATCTTGCAATCCTGTGCAGCATACTAAAACCAAGCATATTGACATCCGATATCATTTTATAAAAAGATCATGTAGAAAAAGATACAATTGAGCTGTACTTTGTTAATACTGAATATCAATTAACTGACTTGTTTATGAAAGCTTTAGATGAAAACGATTTAGTTTTCTAATATCCAAGTTAGATATGCTTAATTTGAAAATCTGAATTACCTATAAAATTTGTTCAATGAATTGAAAATTTTAAATTTATTAGTCAATTTCACTGACTGATAAATTTTTAATTTTTATCAATATTGAACTTAGTTTATACTTAATTCTGTGTTTTCAAATATCTGTATTTTGAAAGTGTATTTCATTGTTTTTATTTTTCTTCTGATCTAATGCTTTTGATTGGTTGTGATTAATTCCAATCGGAGTTTTGAATTTTATATGATCTTATTTCAAGGGGAGTAAGTGTTTTAATTCTTATATGTATGAATGGGTACTTAACTGATATATTTGAATATGTTGTATTTTACAGGTCTTAAAGTCTTAGAAGAGTTTTTGGAAGATGAGTAAATTGATCAAGGCTTGGGCGATATAAGCCTATATCGCTTAAGGCTTGGGCAATATCCTAGGATAGGCCAAGGCCTGAGCGATATACTAAGTTCTCAAATATGAAGTTTGAAATTTGACTAAGCGTTGAGCGATAAAGGTGTTATCCGGACAAGGCTTGGGCGATGAACATTCAATCCGCCCCAAAGCCTGGGAGATGAGCTCTATGTTATAAGGTTGGACGATAAGTCCTTAATCCTCTCAAAGACATGAGCGATGACCTTGTTTCATCGTTCAAAGGCATGAAGGATAAAGTCTCTCATTGTGCAATACTTACACGATATCCTTTTCAATAGGATATCAACCAAGTGTTGCCCGATAAACCTCTTCTTCGGACAAAGGCTTGCGCGACATACTCAAAGATACTTTGGTATGTGAATCAATCAACATTAAATCAATAAAGTCTTCAGAAAAAACTACCATAATGAATAAATGCTACAAAGTATAGATGGCAGATTAGAAGTGAGTACATAGAATGATGATTATCAATGATATTGATTCAATCAACTTTAACCCAATCATGACATTAACATGACTCAATCTCTCTTTCTCTTTTATTCAAGTAAGATTTAAAGATGTCATTTGTTACAATATCCTCCTACAAATGAAGCAAAGAAAGCCCATCAAACCCACACCAAGTTTTACAAGATTCACAGAGAAAGAAAAAGACAGATAAATTATACCTGGAGAAGAGAGGTTGGCAAGAGGGCGTGCCCAAGAAAAAGAAAATATAAAAACAGGATTGTGTAACCCATTCTTTAACCATCTCCTTTTGTTTGAGCTCTTTGCTTACTGCAATCTACTAAACCCACATTTTTTCGTGAACCGAGAGATAAGATTTAGAAAGGAATTGAATTTGAGGATGAGATCGAGAGAGGATTTTGAATATCGAGAGACATTTCAAGATGCTTACTGGATCAATAGAGTGAGAGTGAATTTGAATATGATGAGACATTTCAAAGGAGATAGGGGCGTTCGCACGATTCAGGGTTAGGTTAGGATTAGAATGGAATTGAAATTTTTGAATTTAGTGATAAGGATCCATGTGAGATAAAGATGGAGAGAAGGTGTGCTTTAATAACTTGTATCAGAGTAGTAGATATTTCTAAACCTGAAAATTAATAAGTAATTTGGCTTTAATTAATGGTACGAGTTGGTTTTGGTGAAAAAGACAGTTAAGATGAGAAATATAAGAAGAGAAGGATGACAAGATGAGATGCATAAAGATGCACCGATCAATCCTCGTATCAAACATCTATACTATATTATAAAGCATTTGACAAAAACTCTTAAAACCACTTTTTATTGCGTAAAGTACTGTTTATTAATGCATAATACTTAAAACTCAAGATTACAAGTAGACTGTACGTAATTACAACTTATTAAAACTCCATATCTGAATTCGTGTAACTAACTGCAGATAAACATAATCAAATACAAGATAAACATCTCATTTTAAATATAAAAAAATTAAAATATAATTAAGATAATCATTGAGTTCTAACATAATACTTAATTATTATCTTTAT